TTCTCACTCACTGTTTCTTCCATGTGGTCTTCCCAGCAGGACTGCCAAACTTCTCACATGGTGGCTTAGGTCTTCCAAAAATGCAAAAGTGGAACCTGCCAGGGCTTCTTAAAGCTTAAGACCAGCCCTGGTATATAGCATCACTTTTACCATATTCAATTCATTAAAATGAACCAAGGTCAGCTTAGATTCAGTGCCTAAAGGCATGAATACCTGCAAGCCAGTTTATTGGGGGCCATCTTTGGAGACCAGCTGCCACATTACACAATAAATATGAATTAAATAAACTCATATGTTAATAACCTCTCACTGTAACAGATCACATTCTTACTGTGGTAGAGATGGGCACACAATGGTTTAAAGTCATCATCCCTATTTTCATTATCGAACAGCATTTATATAGTCATGATTTTCACATACTATTCCAAAAAAGGAAAATTAACTAAAAATAAACCTCTTGGCAGGATTAATACAGAAAGATCTTATTTCAAAGATTTTGGTTCTGTATCATTGTTGCAGTTTTATAAAAGAAAGTTTAATGTGAGGAAGTAGGTGGATTGACAATGGTAATTAAAATTGTGTGGACTTAGACAAAACCACACATTAAAGTAGAAAACTCAGGTATTTGGAAATCAGGACCCGGTTCTAGTTCCAGTTTTGAAGACTAACACTAACTAGGTGTTTGATTTTGGAAAAGTCTCTAAATTTCAGTTTTCTCAACTATAAAATAAAAATATGGGAACAAATAGTTTTCAAACATTTTCTAGCTTCTGTCTCCTTAATTCAAAAACAGCTCTATTCACAGGAAGCAGGGAGAAAGGATATGCGTGGGGGGCAGGGGAGGGTAGGGAGTGTGTCCGGCCATTCCCCAATCAGAGTGCTTTTGCATTAAATACTGAATTTTCTTTGGCAGAGGATTGCATTTAAACAAATGGTTCTGTAAATAAAATATATTTGAAATGAGAGATCTGGCCCAAGTCCCCCATTTTATAGATGATGAATTTTATAGATGTTGCCCCTTTCTACCCCTTTCCCTCTGACTTCTTAGTGCCTGTCATCCTCTTGTTGCTTCATACAACACCCCACCCCTACAGTGGCTCCCTACTCCCACCTGCCCTACTACCACAGTACTCTGTGCTTAAATGAGGCCCGACTTCATGGAGAATGAGGAATTCAAGATGAAAAGCTGCATGTGATTTCAAACACACATGTTGATGACAATGATCACTGAGTGAAAAATACAGAGAAGAAAATTGGTTCTAAATTCCTACCCCTGTTAATATTTTAGAAGTGATGATAAGGGAGAATAAACCAATAAAATATTCTCAAAATCACGCTGTATTATACACATCTTGTAGGACTCAAGGGTTCAATTTAAAAAATTACTCTGCTTAAAAAATAAACAGTATGTTGTTTCCCACAAGAAGCCCTGACTAGAGGTTTAGTTGGGAAGTACTTCACTTGGTAGTGTAAAAATTTTAAGAACACAGGAACTAACAATGTTCCATTGCAGTCTGATGGGTTCTCTCTGTTCCTTCTGAAACACACAAATAATTGCCAAGTTAACGAATCTCACATTTCCACTCTAATTAAATGAAACAACACTTTACTCTTCCAGATCCTTATCAAGATATATATTCAAATTGTCTATGCTGGAAGCAATAAATGTACATCTTTCATAATCATCCAACTGTCTACAGGGCTTTTCAAATATCTTTGTGTTGATATGCAAACAGTATATATAACATTTCTGGTCACTAAAGTCTCCTGGTTCCCATTAATAGTGCTATAAAACAAGGATAGTTACTTTTTTTTTTAGATTTCACAATAATAGGAATGTACTATCTTATTAACAGGAATCTTTTTTCCACTGAATCTTTAATTCAGGTTTAGGAGATACTGGCAGACTTTAATATCTTGACAACATTAGATCATTGTAAAGTTAGCTATTCTTTTTTTTTTAACATTTTTTATTGATTTATAATCATTTTACAATGTTGTGTCAAATTCCAGTGTTCAGCACAATTTTTCAGTCATTCATGGACATATACACACTCATTGTCACATTTTTTTCTCTGTGATTTATCATAACATTTTGTGTATATTTCCCTGTGCTATACAGAGTAATCTTGTTTATCTATTCTACAATTTTGAAATCCCAGTCTATCCCTTCCCACCCTCCACCACCCTGGTAACCACAAGTCTGTATTCTCTGTCCATGAGTCTATTTCTGTCCTGTATTTATGCTTTATTTTTGTTTGTTTGTTTGTTTTTGTTTTTGTTTTTTAGATTCCACATATGAGCGATCTCATATGGTATTTTTCTTTCTCTTTCTGGCTTACTTCACTTAGCTCTGTCAAGGTACACCAAATTTCTGTTAAAGAGTACTGAGAGAGTAATTCCCCTAGATATTCCTGTTACTCACAAGAAGGTATGCTGCACAGATACTGTTCCTGTATCAGTTAGGTTTGACCAGGGAAACAGGACCACCATGAGTGATATGAACAAGGAAATTACTATACAGATTAGACCTCACACAATTTGGAAAGAAGCTGAGGAAATAATGTCCCAGAAGGGGACAGCTAAAGAATCAGAGAAAAGGTGCTAAGACCACAAAGGGGAGCTGGTAAAGATTATGGAAGGTTGTTGACTTTGCATCTGGTGATGAGCCTAAAGTTGCTGAAGGTCAGCAGGGCAGGTAGTCGGGAAGAAGAGCTGAGAGTAAACTGTGGAGAGCAAGGACAAACCTGTGAGGACAAACTGGTACCAGTGTTGTCTGTTTCTCACCATTTCACACCTTGATTATATGGATGAACTGACCTAAGCCTTCCCCTCTGAAGCAGCACATACCCTAGACCTCTGGTCCAGGACTCAGAAAAGCTGAAAGAGAAATGGTAGGAGCTGGGGGTGCTGAGAGCCTGGCTGCCGCCTCACCACCCAAAGGCTGCTGTCAGTGGAGTAGTGACAACAAGTATGAGCTGCCCCTGAGACTCTACACTAACCTTCCAAAAGTAAAGGCTTCGGCCTAACTCTGCTGCTCTCTAGATCTCAGGAAGATTTCTCATGTGACCAGCCCTAACCGGGAACCATGCAAAGAATAGAGTTCTGGAAAACACAGTTTCAACTTAGCTAAATTGGCACAATATAAAATTACCACATCATCTGGTAGTCCCTTCAATAAATTGATCCTAAGATGGATTTAAGCCTCTCAAAGACAACATATATTCATTCAATGATAAAGACTATAATACAGAATTTTAATTACTGCATTTAGTTGCAAATTTTCCTCCAAATTTTTTCCTACCTAATATTAGAAACATTGCTACCAGCAAAGAGTTACTTATTTTGCTCTTACCAAGATAAACATCAATGTAAAGCAACATTCAACACCTTATCATTAGCTGAACAACTTTTTAATAGACAAAAAAATCTGCTTAATACTTCTCCATTTCCACCCAACTGCCTTTTATCATTTCAGCTCTCCTCATACTATCTTCTTTCTACTACTAGCACTCGTAAGTCAAAAAGTATTTAAACTCCAAACATGAGGCCTTTTTGCTCCTTCATGCAATGTGGCTTCTTCTCAGTACCACTAAGTTTATCAATCAGGGTTGTATAAATCTGAACTGAACTTATCAATATGAATTGAGTTCAAGTTCTTTCTCCCAGAGCTCTACGTCTCATGCAAATTAGGATATGAGGTATGTCACCCAATTCTACATCCCTGCAAACCCAACTCAGCTCTGACACTGGCAAATCCCTAATACACGATGGACTCCCAACAGGTGTCACTGCCCTTGTCAAAGAACTCCTCCAGGAAGTCACAAGCTCAGCTTTGCTTAAGGGCCCCTCTTGGCCCCTAGGGACATGCTCTCCTATACAAGGAGAATGTCCTCCTCCTCCCACTTGCCAGAAGCATTAAGAGTGACCCCAGGCACGTAGATGATTTAATGGGCTGTTCTGGAAAGCACAGCTTTTTCAACTATATTCCCCTAACTCTGGGTACTTTCTGACAGGATATTTTCTCAGTAGTGGTATCTGCTAATAACTTCACTGGCTAAATGTTATCTTTATGGTATGGCAAAAGTCACGAGAATTGGAGTAGAAGATCCAAGTCTGCGTTCTAGCATCAGTGCAGAACTACACCCTACAGGGTGGTGCTGTAAAGTGGATATGAGATAATGGATACCCTATCCTCACCCATAATGACCCTGACCCTAACCAGTCCATTATCCAGCTCTTCGGTAAGGAAACAGCTTCCTCTTGCACTGGGCCATACCACTTGGGTGATATAGTACTTGTAGGATTTCATAGCCACTTCTGGGACCATCTCACACCACACAGAGCCACTGTTCCCTTCCACACAGGCCCTGCTGTCATCCTGCCCAACCATGCTTCACCCCCACTTACTGTGAGGTGGTAGGTTTTCCATATTTAGGGTGAGGATTGTTCTTCCTTATCCCTCTCTCTCAGGGTTCTTGCTATCCCTCCCTGTGGTCCAGCTTTACATAACTCAGGATTGGAAGTAACATAAAAAGATCAAAGCAAAAAGAGTATATGTTACATGATATCAATATTTATTAACACGGGACATGCTTTTCTCCTCTCTAGGCTTTATTTTATGTCACCTAGGGTCAACAACTTGCTTTTTTTTTCCTAATAATATTCCTAAGATCAAATATTTGACTTCATTTTCCCTATTTTTTTTCTTAAAGCTACCTTAAGTATTCTTTATAATAAAAGGTAAGCATATAACCAAACATAGCTTAATGAAAATTAAACCTAATGCCTGCTACATTTACATTAACATTGCATAGAAATAAGTATGTGGAAGCTATCTCCATCATCAATAGCAGTTGCCAGACTTATATTTTGCACAGGTAGAGACTACTGAAGCACAATAAATTTTAGTTTCCTTCTCTCTCTTCCTCCATCCTGACCTTGTCCACATCCTTAGTAACCAGACTCTGAGGGGCCTGTAATCAGTAGATTACACACAATCAAAAATACCAACTTTTATTTTAAAATGTTAAACTTACTACAGGCTGATCAATAAAGATCAAATACGAATTCTTTAAACATGCAATGTTTGAAATTGGAAAATTTTGGTTATAACTAATATTTTCTAAGTTGTAAGAGCATTTCATGAAGATGTTGCCTGTTTCAAATACTGAATAAGATCTTCTCTCTCACTCTTCTTTTTAAGACCAGCAAAGACCATTTTAGTTCCAGGGATATATTTCTTTGGGTTCTCCAAATATTCCACCAGAGTCTCCTCTCCCCAGATAACACCTATAAAGGTGAAAATAAGTTTTAAATTTGTGTAGTTACATCTGTAAGGCTTACTTTCTGATGTGACCTACATTTGTGAACAATGATTCCTCTTGGACTCCTAGGAAGACTATTATAACTGGCAATACTTACAGGTTCTGACCTACAAGAAAATTCCAAAATTAGTCTCTGGTGAGCTACTCTTTGGCTTCCTTGTAGAAGTCCAAAGCTGTTTAAGATTCTCTAAGGTACATCAATGAACTACCAACCCAGACACATTGTGCCTAAGCTGTACGCCATCCTCCTAGAATCAGAGTTCCTTCTAGAAAATATCTTCGAGATCACTTAATCCAAACCCTCATTTTGCAGAGGAGTAAACAATGACCCAAAGAAAGGATAATAACTTATCCTAAAATGACAAGGCTACATAGAGTCAAGAACCTGTGACTATAACTCAAATTTCCATGTTTTCCTGCAAATCATACCAAACTGCCTCTGTCCAGATCTCAATCAAAATTCCTGATTTCAGGAATCCAGTTTTACAATGAGAAACAAAGGTTGCCTCTGACTTTTTTCCTTTCTAAAACCAGTTGAAAAGAACATGAACAGAGAAACAGAAATGCTAACTCCAGTTTCAAAAAAGAATCTGAGGAAGTACCTATATCCCCAAACTTGATACAATTAGAAGACTACCAAGGACATAAAACCTGGACCAGAGTGAAAGGACACCTCCTGTCACTAATGATTTCAAAAGAAGAAGACAAAAGTTCTCCAAAGTAGGTGACAAATCATGAGGGACAGAGTCATAACCCTGTTTGGAGCAAAAAGAATAGAATGTTTACTGGCTTGCTGTGAAAGTCTCCCTAAATTCATTTTGACACCATGGAGGGGCAGGGGAGCCAGGATTAAAGAAGAAAACACAGGCATGCCATCTTTAAAAGAAAGATTCTATCTTATTACAGGATAAAAGAGAAACTTAAGGTGTTGGATAACCCTACAGCTGCCGGTCTTTGTCAACTAAAGAGGCAAATAACCCCCCAACAAACATACACATGTACACAAATCTCTAACACATAACTGTGTTATAACTAATTGGAACACTCAGATTCTCTCTCTTAGGAAGAATTGTCTTCATCAAAAGAAGAGTAATAATCAAAAAGGAATCAGCACAAAAGAGTATTGAAAACATATACACACAACATACACACACATAACAGAAAAGAATATAAAAAACAAAAGTTAAACGAAAAATACACATCAGAAATTATATACATTAAGCAGATAAAAACCATGAGCAATTCCCATGGACTCAAAAAAGGTCTTTATGAATCAAGGGCTTATAGCAGAGCTACAAATGTTCAAGGAGAAAATGATAAAACAAAAAGATATAAATGACAGCAGAAAGAATAGATGCTGATAGCACAATCAGTCTTGAAAATATTGATAAAAACAAAATGAAAAGCTTGAACAATCAAGGAAAATACCAGATATAGAAGATATTTAGACAAAAGATATCCAAAATATGCACAATTGATGGCCCAAGTAAGATTTCCTAAACAAATAAATGAAATCTATAAAATTATTAAAACATATAATTCAAGAAAATTTTCAAAAATAAAAGTCTTAAATCTACCAGTTGGAAGAATGTATTCCCAGGAAAATATGAAATAGATCAATCAAGGCTTCCAAATAGCCTACTAAATTACTAAATTTCAGTAAGATTTTTACTGAAACTTAGAGGGAATAGAATAAAAATAAAACCAAGTAATTTATAATGAAAAACAGTCAGCTTCAGATTTCTCCAAAGAATAATTCAAAATGAAGCATACAAAATCCTGAGGAATTAGAAGGGCCATCCAATTATTTTATGTCTAGCCAAAATATTCAAGGTCAATGGGAATCCATAGATGTTTTCAAATGTCAAAGAACTAGGGTAAAATGGTTCTAATAATTCTTTCTTGGTATAACTACTGATAGGTAATTTTCCATCAACCAAAAGATAAACACTATGGTAAAAGCTGGGAAAATACACTAATACAATTTAAATGCAGGACAAATGTTAAAGCAAATATGGTAATTAGAGTTACATAGGATATAAATTATATATATAATATATATTATATTATACATATATCATGTCAGAGTAGAAATAACAATGTAAGTAGTAAGAGTTAAGAGACAGTATGAAAAAATTGGATGTTGTATAACTACTTTGATTTTCTCATCCTTCACAGTGAAGAATGAACAGATCTTGCTTAAAGTAGATAAATAATAGAGGCATTTAACTTAAAGTATAAATGTAGCCACTAAAATTATAAAGAATAATATTACCATTAAAAATTAGTTGGTAAAGGGAAAGGAATAGGGGAGAACAGGGAGACGTGAACATACATAATTTCCTATGACTCATACTGGGAAGTACACTTCTGAACTATTTGAATTTTCATATAATCTACATGGATTTCAAAATATTTTTTAAGTTATTAGTACATTTATGATTTGATGTGTCCTATTGCCTCTTTTAACAGATTTTGACAGGACAAAAGGCAAAAGATAAAGATTAATTTCTTATAATAAATTAGTTTATCAAATATGTTAATCCTATGATATAATTTAAAGGTCCAACAAGACTTGAGTTTGAATCTTAGTTGTATCATTTGTTAGCATAGAACCCTCAGCAAATCATGAGTTAATTTAAATAATTTGTTTCTAAAACCGACTTCAATTATCACTGACCCAAAAATGCAAATAGCATATAGTAATTCAACAATACCTATAAAGTATTATTCTCAAAAGAAAAATTTTATCTGTTTACTGATGTTTTTCAAAAAAACAACATAGGTGCTAAACATCACTAATCATTAGGAAAATGCAAACCAAGATCACCAGGAGATACCACGTTACACACCTTAGGAAAGCAATTATCAACAAACAGACAAAAATCAAAATAACAAGTGTTGTCTGGGATGTGGAAAAATTGGAACCTTCTGTATTGCTGGTGGGAACATAAAATGATACAGCCTCTGTGGAAAATAGTACACTTATTTCTCAAAAAATTAAACACAGAATTATCATGATTCAGCAATTCCATTTCTGGGTACTGCACCCAAAGGAAGTGAAAGCAGGGACAAATATTTGTACACCCATGTTCACAGAGCATTATTCACAATAGCCAAAATTGTAAGCAATCAGAGTGTCCACTGATAGATAAATAAAGAAGATGTGGTATATACATACAATGGAATATCACTCAGCCTTTAAATGGATGGAAATTATGACACATGGTACAGCATGAATGAACCCTGAACATTTTATGCTAGGTGAAATAAGCTAATCACAAGAAGACAAGCACTATATGATTACATTTATATAAAGTATTTAGAGTAGTCAAATGCAGAGACATAAAGTAGAATGATGATTTCCAGAATCTGTGTAATGGCTACAAAGTTTTAGTTTGGGAAGATAAAAAAGTTCTGGAGATGGACAGTAGTTACAGCTGCAGAACAATGTAAATGTGCTTAATTCTACAGAACTGTACATTTAACATGGTTAAAGGTCTTCTGCCCATTTTTGGATTGGATTGTTTGGTTTTTTTGATACTAAGTTACATGAGCTACTTATATATTCTGAAAATTAAGCCCTTGTCAGTCACATCATTTGCAAATATTTTCTCCCATTCTCCAGTGAAGACATATAAGCGGCCAATAGGCACATGAAAAAATGCTCGATATCACTAATTATCAGAGAAATGCAAATCAAAACTAGAATGAAGTATCACTTTGCACCAGTCAGAATGGCCATCATTAAAAAGTCCACAAATGATAAATGTTGGAGAGAGTGTGGAGAAAAGGGAACCCTCCTGCACTTTGGTGGAAATGTAGTCTGGCGCAGCCATTATGGAAAACAGTATGTAGAGTCCTCAATAAACTAAAAAGAGACTTACCATATGATCCAGCAGCCCCATTCCTGGGCATATATTCAGAGGGAACTCTAACTGAAAAGACACATCACATGTACCCCAATGTTCATAGCAGCATTATTTACAAGAGCCAAGACATGGAAACAACCTAAATGAACCCTTCTTTTGACAGTGTGCACTCAAAAAGGAAAAAATAGTGCACAAGATGCCAACTCCCCTTATTAAATCCTTCTCCTATAACAAGGTGTGCAAAAGCTTAATCAGATAAGGTATTTTAGTCTATACAAGCACTATAAAACCCATTAAGAAATTTTAAAATACTAAATTCACATTACTTATGAAGAGGACTTACAACTGCAAATAATCTATATTTAAAACTTTCCCAAAGACATCATAAGAAAATGCACACCAATATCCCTTATGCAAAGATCCTCAACAAAATAGTAGCAAGCTAAATTCAACAACATTGTTTAAAGAATTAAATATCATGACAAAGTAGGATTTATCCCAGGAATGCAAGAACAGTTCAACATCAGAAAATCAATGTAATACACCATGTTAATAGAACTGGGAAAAAAACATGATTATCTCAAAGATGCATTTGACAAAATCCAACACCTTTTCATGCTAAAAACATTCAACAAACTAGGAATAGAAGGAACCTTGATTAACATGAAAAACAGGACTTATGAAAAACCCACACCTAGTACCATATTCAAGGTAAAAAACTAAAACCTTACCCCCTAATATCAGGAACAAGACAAAGACACTCACTTTAACCAGTACATTCAGAAATCTACTGGAAGTGCTGCCAGAGCAATTAGGGGAGAATAAGAAATAAAAGCCACCCAAATTAAAAGGAAGAAATAAAATTATGTCTATTCACAGATGACATAATTCTGTATACAGAAAATCCTCAAGAATCCACAAAAAAATCTAGAGCTAGTAAGTGAATTTAGCAAAGTTGCACGGTACAAGATCAACATAAAAAGATAAGTTGTGTTTCTACATACAAGCAATGAACAATCTGAAAAAAAATTTTTAATTGTTTATAATAGTATCTAAAAGAATAAAATATGTAGGAATACATTTAACAAAGGACATAAAAGACTTGTACACTGAAAGTTACAAAACATTGCTAGAAGAAATTTAAGAAGACCTAAATAAATGGAAAGGTACCCTATGTTCATAGAATGGAAGGTTAATCCTATTAAAATGACAATACTCCCCAAAGCAATGTACAGATACAATGCAATCTCTATCAAAATTTCATAGGCCTTTTTTTTGCAGAAATGGAAAAGGTAATCTTCAAACTCATGGAATTGCAAAGGGCCCTGAATAGCCAAAACAATACTGAAAAATAAAAACAAAGTTGGAGGGCCATTATTTCCCAATTTCAAAACTTACTACAAAGCTACAGTAACCAAAACAGTGTGGTACTGGTGTAAGTATACATATACAGACAAATAAATAAAAAATAATTGAAAGTCCAGATGTAAACCCTAACATATAGCCAATTAATTTTCAGCAAGAGTGTAAAGACCATTCAACTGTGAAAGAATCTCTTCAACAAACAGTGCTAGGACAACTAGATAATCATATGCAAAAGAATGAAATTGGACCACTACTTCACTCCATATAAAAAATTAGTGATAATTAATTCTGGTTAGTTAAAAGTGGGTCAGTGACCTAAATATAAGAGCTAAAACTATAAAACTAACAGAAGAAACATAGGATAAATATTTATGACCTTAAATTTGGTGATGGACTATTAGATTTAACATATAAAGCAGAAGAAACATAAACAACAAAAGTAGATAAATGGGCTTCATACAAATTAAAAATGACTGTGTATCAAAAGATATAATTTTTAAAAAATAAAGATTTTTTAAATCTACAGAATAAGAGAAAACATTTGCAAATCACTTACTTGATAAGGGTTTAGTGTCCAGAATACATAAAGAACTCATATAACTCAGCAACCAAAAGACAAATAACCCAAATAAAAAATTTCACATAATATAAGTAAGCATTTTTCCAAAGAAAATATACAAATGGCCAACAAGCATGAAACAATGTTCAGCATTAAGGATCATTAAAGAAATACAAAGCAAACTCATCAAACATTACCTCATATCCACTAAGATGGCAATTAAAAAAGAAAAACAAAAAATAACAAGTGTTGGTGAGCATAGGAGAAATAAGAATCCTCCTACATCACTGATGGGAAAGTAAAATGGTACATCCACTGTGGAAAACAGTTTGATTTTTCTTCAAAAAGTTAAACATAGTTAACTGACCTAGTAATTCCACTCCTAGGTATAGATCCAAAATAACTGAAAACAGGAACTCAAACACTTTTTCACAAATGTTCATAGTAGCACTATTCATAATAGGTAAAAGGTGGAAACATCAGCTGATTAATGGATAAACAAACTGTATTATATACACCAATGGAAGATTACTCAGCCCTAAAAAAGGAATGAAGTACTGATACATGCTTCAACGTCAATGAAACTTGAAAATATTATGCTAAGTGAAATAATCAGGCACAAAAGGTCATATATTATATGATTCTTTTTATATGAAATATCCAGGGTAGGTAAATTCATAGAGACAGAAGATTAGTGGTTGCCAAAGGCTGGGGGTAGGAGAATATGGGGAGTGGTTACTTAATGTGTACAGGGGTTCTTCACGGATAATGAAAAATTTTTGAAACTACAGAGAGGTGGTGTTTGTACAATACTGTGAATGCACTAAAATGTTACTGAATTTTACATTTTAAAATGGCTAACTATATGTTATGTGAATTTCCTTTCAATTAGAAAAAAAGAGAAATGAGGGGAGGATACAGCTCAAATGGTAGAGTGCATGCTTAGCAGGCACGAGGTCCTGGGTTCAATCTCCAGTACCTCCTCTAAAATTAAATAAATGAACCTAATTATCTCCCTCCCCACCTAAAAAATAAAAAATAAATAAAAAATAGAATTAAAAAAATGTTTTTAAGAAATAAAAAATAAAATAAAATATAAACCATTCCAAATTGTAGTGTAGTAGTGATCTGAAATTTGGGTCTGCGAGAAATGCTGGGATCCCAAGAACAGTTCAAAAAATAGTTGTACCCTATTTTTAAATGAATACTAACTATATAGATAGATATATAGATATTTCTAGGGGTAATAAATTGCTTTGCAATATATTAGTCTTTGCAATCATTTTTAATTTCAACCCTAAGATTGTCATCTATGCACCTTCCACCAAGAAAGAAATGACTGAATATACTTTTCAAACTATATAACATTCCCCACACCGTACTAAGAATCACCACTAGAAACAGAAAATTACCATTATGCCAATAAAACATAATTTGATTTTCAAATTTAGCTCATGCCTTTTCAAGATAAATGTACTGCATAAAATGAAATTCCTTGTATAGGCAAAAAACCTATGCTATAGAGGATTGCTAATTTCCCTGATCAAAAAGTTGACCAATCATCCGAACACAGATCTTACGATATAAATCAGTATTTCCATAATATAAACATGTGGATTTTATTTTTAATGCTGCAAATCAGGAAATTCTTATAATAACAAATCATGTGCTTTCTTCTTTGCTACAAAGTTTCTGGTTCTCTCCCACAACTGCCTAGTTTTTACCTTTGTTTTTGTTTGCATCAGAATAAGAAAATCCTGGTGCTTGTCCTGTTTTTCTGCCAAAAAGGCCACAGAGATTTGGACCAGTCTTATGTTTTCCACCTCTTTCCACTGTGTGGCACTGAGCACATTTTTGAACAAAGATCTTCTTGCCTGCCTCAGCATCTCCCATTTTGTTCTGCAATGAAAATTAAGCCACAGACCAAAGAAAATATCTGATTTGTAAAGCTAGACAAAAAGGAATTTCATCACTGTGAGGTAAATACTAACGATATTAAACAAAAATATAATTTAAAGCACACATGCTTTAAAATCTGAGTGCTCAAAATACAAACACATAGCATCCAACTATATGAAGACTTAATCATCTTATCACATTTATTTTAAATTTCTAGCTATAGCAACTTCAGAAACTATAGCTATTGGTATAAGCCTGGTTTTATTTCAGCCTTCAAACAATTATAATAATTTACCTAGCTCAACTATATTCTATTTTTTTCTCACTTCCAAAAAGTGCATGTGCAAAAAATGATGTGAAGCATATAGGTCTAAATTGGTATCCCCTTACTTAGAAATAAGGATAAAACAAATTGGAAAGGTGATTAAATATAATATTATAAGTACTTAAGTGCCTGCAATAATACACAGAACTATAAAATAAAAAACTATACAGAAAAGAGGTCACAGCAAGCTACAAGTAATACAGAATTTCCTATTTACTTTACACTCTCAGCTGTAAACAAATCATCAGACCAGATCAAGCATTACCTGAGAGCAATCAAATAACACTACGGAGTTCAGTCAGCATTAGTGCATATAGTGAGAAAATACATGGTTCTAAGTAGGGAAGATTTTATTATGTGGTGATAAATACATACAATAAATTTTGCATAAAGATATTTTGGTTAAGACTGCCAAAAATTCTGTTATGTACATAAATAAATGCTCTTCCATCTAAAATGATTAAAATAATTAAAATTTAAATAATTTTAACTTATTGAAAAAGTGTAGTTTGAAATGCTAATGAATGCAATACCTGGGTTTTGTTTTCCTACAGTTTGTGTTCTTTGAAGTATAGTGTTGGGGAGGTGGGAGTGGGGATGGAATTCAGCATAAGAGTTACCATTACAGAAATTACAATAATACCTAATTCTTTGACAGTACAACTATAAGCACATTTCTATCTTCATAACTCAGTTGAGAAATAGAAAATGATTTGTGTTATTCTGACAATATTGAAAAACAATACTGTTTAACTCTAACTATTACTCACAGAGAGGCTAGTATTTCATATACAGTAAACTGCAAAATTATTATCTTCCTAATTTTTTAACATCTAAGTAAAAACTCAAAACAGTGTCAATAATCCACTTAAAGGTAAGATAGAAGTTTTCTCTGGGCAGTATCCAAACAACTCAGCTGTTTAAGTGTTTAGGTCTGATAAAAGGGGGAGTAAGAAAACACATTTTACCCAAGAGAAATTAACTTTAAAATTCCAAACTTCAGTCAAAACGCTGCATTCAGTTTCTACCTATGTGAGTTTTATCAACTGTCTGTATAGGTACAGAATTCACTGAGCCTTTGTTCAGAACAGGGACCACAGTAAGGAAAACTTCAGTCACAAAAACAAATTTATGGCCTTTTAGCAAAATGCACTCACTATAAGAATAAAGTTTGTATAATATAAAAACAAAATGTCATCTCAGTACTAGTTAAAGAAAATTTCCAGTCTTTATATAAAGCAGAAAAATCAGATTGATTGTTATACCAATTAAATTTTACCGGTAATTCAGGAAACTAGACTTTATTTAAAAGGGAAAAAACAGAAACTTTTTTTTTACTTATGCAGATTTAACATGCAAGTCAGTTATAAGAAAATATCCACTGTCCCTGTTCAGACTACCAGTACTTAACACAATTAAAACACTCACTACTGCCATCTTTAATCACTGCTGTGCAAATATCTATGACCTTCTTTAAAGTTCATTAAAACCAGTAAATTCAACAAAGGCAGCAAGGGAAGGGGCAGGAAAACTAGGAAGGATATCAAGGGAATTCCTTTTGTCTCGTAATCACTTGGCACTAGTATTTAGTAATTAAGTAAATCTCACTAAAATAAGCAAAGATGTAACATCTAGTATGAGAATGACTGCTCATTCAAAAAGGAAGTAATTCTAAAGCTAAACAGACCAGGATAACAGTAACAAACACACATGCTTACTATATGCCAGGCATAGTCTAAGCCCTTTATATATTATTGTTTTTAATCCTCACACCAGCCAAGTGAGAAAGATACTACTAGTATCTCTACTTTGTGTGTGAGACAAGGAAAATAAAGCACATAGACGTTGAGACGCTTGTTTAAAGTAACAAGTTGGTGAGAAGTACAGAGAGATGGTGAAAGGTAAGAGAAAGAGCAATATAAAATCTATAACCCTTTTAAGAGTAATCTAGGCAACCCGGTGTTGAACACACCGTATGACACATTGCAGATACTTAACTGTGTGAGCGTACTTAAAGAGGAGTGAGAAACTTTTTAATACTGGTACCTAAAATCACTGTCATTTCTAACTTTGCCTGTAAAAAGAGGAATGTGGTAAAGACAAGACACCATTAAATGTTTTAAAGTTTGCAAAACCCACATAATTGTAGTGATGAAAGGAGGGGAAGCTCACTAGACTGCTTTAAGGATGATTACTACATAGACTAAAAAAAATTAAGTGGGATTCTGCATGTTGTAGTGAATAAAGTACTGAAGTAGAGTGCATCACAATGACGTGACCGTGGGTAAATCACTTCAAGTCCACGAACACACCCTTCCCCCTAGGTGTCTACAGCCTTTCCCCCCTTCTAAAATGCTGTCCTGGAACCTCTAATCCAGCTTTCCAACTCCCAATCTGGGCTCTTCCATGCCACATCCATTTGGAAGCTGACTTCTGCCAACCAAGGGCTGAAGATTGTACTCTGAATCAGCCCCACCCAGAAATCAGAGAGGCTGCAGAGACGCCTCTTGCTAGAAATAGTTTTCTGTTGCACTTAGGGACATCCACGACCCACCATGCTGGGGCTAAGGCGAGCTTCTTACTAGCCGGATGGTTGGAAACTCCTCCCTGGGCGAAGCCAGGCCCAAATTACACTGTGGTCCATAACCAGTGCTCAGGCCACACAAGTGCCCGGCCCACTGCCCCCTAGCCAGTCCCATACTTACCACAGGGCCAGTGGCTCCGTCCTCCGCCTCCCCAGAGAACCTTTAAAGTCACTGCACTGCGCCCCAACTTCAAGGCTGGCGGTCCTGCTGTAGCGCCTCAAAGACCAGCACCTCAGGCCGAGCCCGCATGTGCTTCCGGTGGACGTCAGCCAATGGCAGGCCAGGCTCCATCGGCGCTGCCGATTGGCCCCCAAATCCCGCAGGATCGCAACTCTCGCAGGAACTTAAAGCCTCGCACCGCCAAGCTGTCGCTGGCTGGCAAAATGTGACAGAGTGAGTATTCTTCCAGCGTAATAGTCCCAAGCCTATTTATCTGTGTATATTCACCACATGTACCAATCTTACTTGAGGTAGGAACTCAACGTTTTACGAAAGGTCCATTAGTATTTGATTGCAGGAATCAAATCACGTCAACGAAATAACGAAGTAAGTGCTTACTATGGGCAAGACACTGTGCCAAGCAACTTGGAAGGACAAACTGAACTGCAGCTCCAATTTTCTGTGAGTTATAATCCAGTGGAGGCAAGATTTAAATACATAAACAATTATAGTATTATAAATAAGCTACATTAAAAAAAAAAACTGACAGCAAGGGGTCAAGCTGCTTGTTACTCGCCAAAAGAGCAGAATAGAGTATGAATAGAAACGGAGACAGAATGAGTCCTGAAAGAGCAAAGGAGGGAGTTATGAGGGAAGACGAGGATTTTGAAGATAGACAAGTGAAAAAATCAAAGCTGTGTCTAGGAAAATGTGAGAAGAGAAAGTTGTTTACCTGTGGTTACATAATTAATTCAGGCAGACTTGAGTAGTAAGTCTGTAACAGAGAAATAGGAATGTTAAAATAATTTAATTTATTAAATTTTCTTTATTAGGTAAATGCGAGATTCTAGTTCTCTAGACATGTCCAATACAGCTTTCTTACATGATGGAGGTGTTCAACGTGGATGCTACTATCGGCAAGTGTCTTTGAACACTTGAGGTGTGGCTAATGTGACTGAGTAACTGTATTTTTTATTATTTTAATTATAATTTTAATTAGTTTTATTAATTTTATTTTAATTTAAATAGCCACAATTACCAGATGGTTGAATGAAACTATATAAGTGGTACTTATGTGTTCTGCCCTATGAGCTACATATTTAAAAGACATATGTCATCAAATTGAGTCCAAAGGACCAGGTATACTGGGAAAAAAAGTAATGTTAAGTATTACTCTCAAACTCAAACAAAGACACATAAACTCAAGGGAAAAAAAGAAGACTACCATTTCTTGAGTGCCTACCATATGCCAGGCTAGGTGCCTGCCTACCTTATCAGTAGCCAGTAGCCTTACAGATGGGAAAAATAGAGATGGTATTCATACAGAACAGTCTGAAAGTTTCTAATTGATCACCGATGAATATCAGCAGTAAAATCTATTAAAAATTTGCAAATAAAGCAAAACATTTTTACTTAATTAAATATAATGTATGAAGACTAATAACAATAACCAGTAAGCCTCCTTGTAATTAGATGATAGCTCAGAGAAAGTTTGTAAAACAACAAGAATTTACTATTTTATCCTTTCATTTCAAAAATAAGTTACAAAGGTGGAGGATATAGCTCAGTGGTAGAGTACGTGCTTAGCGTGCACAAAGTCCTGGGTTCAATCCCCAGTACCTCCATTAAAAAAGTTATAATATCATCTGTTGTTTAAAAAAAATTAATAAGAATTGCAGAAGAAAAAATTTCAAGGGAAATATGACTTTCATGTGAAATAAATGTGTCTATCATTCTAATAATTGTGCATTATAGACTACATGTTCTGACTTAATTCAATCTACAAATGCCCAGCCCATCTTTAATGTAAGACCAATTAATATTCATTCTTTCAAACCTCAGAATTTTTAGCTATTTCAGTTACATCTGATTCATGTTCAAATATGATTTGATATAATTTGAAACATAACAAATCTGTCATTGAGTGAAGAAAATGTTCTAGAACTGCGGTGATAGTTGCACAACTCTGAATACTAAAAACCATTTAACTGACCACTTTAAATGGTGAGTTGTATGATATTTGAACTATATCTCAATATGTCTGTTTAAAATAAATAGATAAGTCAAAGAAAAAGTGTTTACTGTATTTTAGAAACTTATAATTAAAGTTCTTATTTTCCTTGAATATATGGTATTTCACATAATTAGATGGTAAAGAATTGTTGCTTTCCCAGCATTTCCCAAGATTTCTGATCCTGGTTTTGTTTCATATAATCTTTTATCCCTCCTAAAATAAAATTAACTGCTCTGGAAACATTTACTGCTCTAAAATTTTCAGGATACCAATCAGCAATCTTGTTCTACGAAGAACAGAAATTTCCCAGTCAGTGCAGTTCAAGAAAATTATACATTTTCCACTAGATGGCACTGGCGTTCAAATAGTATTGCTAGAATCTGCGCTTTCTTCACATCAATAAAATTATTACATTATCACATTGTTTTCATTCACTTTGATTGGTCTGGGTAAGATAAAGAGAAGCAGAAAGTTAAGGTACTTCCTTGACATGCTAAGTTCTAGGGTAAAGAGAGTCCTTATTTTATGGATGCAGAATGTAATGCAAGGAGAATATCACAATCTTGTGCAAAAGCCATGGTGAGAACCCCAAATCCCTGTTAGCTGCCATCATACAACTACACCATATCAAGAGTGGGGTAGTGGACACCATAGTCAAAGTGGACAAGAAAATTAATCTCTGTTTTGCATTGTAGACATATTATTTCATTTGATCCCTAAACTATTAGCTCCATATGTATTATCTCATGTCATCCTAACTATACAAGCCCAATCTATTAACTTCATGAGGCAAGTAGAGTGATCATTTTGTTTAATACTATATCACTTAAATATAGCACAGTGCCCAACATAAGTAGACAGGGGAGAATATTTCTTGCTTAATAAAATGAGTGAATTAATTAAGCAAGCTTCACAACTACACCATTTAGTAGGTAATATTATTTCTACTTTACAGTTGAGGAAACTAAAGTTGGAAATATGAAGTATTTTGTCCAAGCTCATTTAACACAATCTGATATTACTTTGCATTATGTATTTTCATGTAAGACTTCCACAATAGAAAAAAAGCTCTCTGAGAGCAGGCATTATGTTCTTCTTTTTTCCCATTGTATGTCTAGCTCCTTGCACAGAGCCTGGCTCACCGTTAGCACACAATAAACAGTATTAATCTCCTTGCGTTCATAGCAACCCAGGTCTTAGCAGCCTGGACTTGAACATTTAAGGAGCTCTGCTCCTGGGCCATTTTCTAGTTTATTCCTTTCACTTCATTCCAGTGCCACTGCCTTGGTTCTGGATTTCTGCTAGTTTTGTGCTGACCTCTCCTCAAGGCCCATTAATCAGAAGTCTTAGAAGTCATACAAATTTCCCACTTTGCTTGCACTTTAGGATTTCGTCTAGTTCCACGGCTGCACAATGCATTCTTTTTGCCCTCAAACCACCCACGGGTGCTTGTGGGAGTTGAGTAGATCAGCAGATGGAGTTGGTTCTGTTTTGGGCTTTTTTATTTGTATCTCTATTTCCTTTTGCTATTCCATGGGCCTCATCTCAATTTTCTCAACAAATAAGGCTGGAGTTGGATGATCTCAGAAGTTTCTTTCAGCTATAAGACTGTAACAGTTTTAACTCTGTCCTATAGAGGTCTTCTAGTGAGCGTGTGATCAAGATGGCAAGTTTGGGGAACGAGTCCTTCTCCCAGGGGGATATGGGGCTGGGGTAGAGCCAGCGATGGTAAAGACCGTGCACCAAACGTGGCTGTTCTAGCTACAGGAAACTAGGATCGATTGCACGCCTGATTTGTGGGCCTAGGGTCCGCGGGCTGAGTCCGACTGCGCCAGGCTCCTCCGGGCCGCTAGGGGGCGCTGCAGGCCGCTCCCTGAAAGCCGGCGCCCTCCGCGGCCGGCCGGCCTGCGCGAGTGCGCCAGACTCTTCCGTCTTCCGGAAGCGGAGCCGGACTGGCAACGGCTGGTGTCGCGATAGCGGCGGTGGCGGGCACTGCGGAAGCGAGAAGGAGTAAAGGGGATCCCGGCCTGGCTCCCGCGCCGGGGTGGAGCACCATGGACGAAGCGGGCAGCTGTGCGAGCGGCGGAGGCTTCCGCCCGGGTGTGGACAGCCTAGACGAGCCACCCAACAGCCGCATCTTCCTGGTGATCAGCAAGTACACGCCCGAGTCGGTGCTGAGGGAGCGCTTCTCGCCCTTCGGAGAGATCCAGGATATCTGGGTGGTGCGGGACAAGCACACCAAGGAGTCCAAGGGCATCGCCTTCGTCAAGTTTGCCCGCAGCTCGCAGGCCTGCAGGGCCATGGAGGAGATGCACGGCCAGTGCCTCAGCCCCAACGACACGAAGCCTATCAAGGTGCGGGTGTCTGGGTCGGGGTACCCCCGGGGGCGTTGTCAGGGCGGAGTAGGGGTAGTACGTCAGCTCCCGGGAGCGGACTGGATAGCACTTGGCTTTCTAGGGCGTGGGGAGGGGAGGACGGCCTTGGGAGAGGTCTCAAGACCTCCCGCCCTGAGGCTGCACTCGGGGGTGGGAATTGGGGATGCAGAGAGAACATCCGCCCCCGAGTCCCACCGGGCAGCTGAGGCGACTAGGGCAGCAGAGCTGCAGAGCTGCAGAGGCTGGGCCTCCCTCACTCCCGCCGTTACTAATCCAGAGCTCTGGATTGCCCTGGCCTACTTTGAGGACTTCTCCGACCCTCCTCTCTCAGACCTCCCGGCTTACTGTATGCGTAAAAATAGATAACTCTGCTTTTCCTCAGGTAAGTATGGGCTTAACAACTTGATAAAAGTACCTTTAACTGTGGCCCTCTAGTGTTAGGTATTTTCACAGTACCAAACAAAAGTATGCATTCATTATGAATATGTAACTACAGGCGATTAAAACTGTTACTGCATGTTCATCACACTTTTGTGATTTTTAAAAATTAGTTTAAATAAACCCTCTTTGTGACGGTATTGATAGCCTAGGTTTTGTTACTGTCAATTTTTTTTTGAAAGCAGACCAAAGTAAACTGCTTTAAAAAGAGTGAAATCATTGTAATGGTAGTGTAATTGTATTATTAAGTGCTTCTGTGTATACTCTTAGTTCGCCCTGGTGGTATTTATATTAAGTTCCCACAGTTACTTGTCTGTAAAATTAAGCTACTGACACATGACAAGAAGGGTGATTTTGAGGGCTATTTGACTTAATCTGCTTTTAGCACAGTGCCTGGCACAAAGTCAGCCCTCAGTACTGTCAATGGCTGGGGTTTCTGTCAGTATAGCCAACGTGTCATTCCTTCCTTGCTGTGTACTCAATTCAGAATCCCAAGAATCTGGCAGTTGCTTGAATTGTACCCTTTACCTGTACTGTAGAAATAGTTGCTCTGTATGTACTTATGTTGGTGCTTTCCACAAAGTTCTCTTTTTCCTCAACTTTAAAAAAAAATTGTCCCAATTAGTAGAGAAAATAGAAAAATAGTATTAAATGGACTTACGTAAATGAAAGATTCAGAAATATTTCTGTCTCTGGAGGCCTTCCCTATACCTCCGTCCACAAAAAAGTGAGAAGCCTGGAAATATACCAACAGCACAGTAGACAGTAGACATTCCCTCTCCTCCCACCTCCCAAACCCTCTGAAATGAGTCAGAACAGATGATCAATGAAATTAAGTGTAAGGCCACAGCACATACTAGATCAGGGGTTGGCAAACTTTTTCTATAAAGGGGCAGTAGATATTTTAGGCTCTGTGAGCCATGTACAGCCTCTGTCACACATTCTTTGTTTTTTAACAACTAAAAATGTAAAAGCAATTCTTAAATCATAGGCTGTAGAATAACAGGAAGCTGTAGTTTGCCAACTCCTGCACTAGGTTGATAATTATGATCTTAGCAAAGAGGATTTTTATACTGTGAGTATAATTGAACCACAGAAATCTGGAAAACCCCTGCAAAATGACCCAAATTTGAAACCTTGATTAAACTCCTACAGGAGAAAAGTCCCAACACTAAAATGTACTGCCTCCCTTTTAGCCAGGGAAATCCCCACAGGTAATTAAAGTTTAAATTTTGTTTTTCACATTTTTGTCCACTTATTTTCTGCCAGAGGATTGTTACACTACAGTGCCTAGCTGAACAGTCTTAAATTCATTCTTCAACAGCTTCAGCTTGGGCTGTCCTCCACTGGAATATAGTTTTTTCAGCATTTCCAGTTAAATTAATTCAACTTCAGTTTTTCTCATGTACTTTGCTTTTGCAAAGTTCCAAAGCCCCACAAGACAAATAAGAAAATTTTAATATAGGCCTACAACCAGAAAAGACTGTCCAAATAAGAGTCATTCTGTGAGTGACCAGCTACATTATCTCGAGGAAAGGGGTAAACTTAGAAACTAGATGAGAAAAATCTTAGTTTTTAGCTTTGCAAGAATGCCTATTATTTAGAGCCCATAGTCTGTGAACATAAAATATCAGGAGAAATTATCCAGTAGGTAGTTAATTATTATACATGTGTTCTCCTTACATACTGTCTTCTTTATGAGAAATTTGAAAAGTTCCAATCTTCTAAAATTTAGAAATTTGTGATCTGATGGCACCTCCAATCTCAAATCTTATTTGAGACTCTTTTTTTTCTCCTCATGTCTTCTCATATACTTAAAGGTTCCCTATTTGTATTTCCCTGTTGACCATCCATTACTGGTAGATCCACTGGACTAACGGTAACTTTCTAGTGGGCCATTTCTGTGCTACTCAGTTCTCTATTACTAATACCTTACAGAGCGCTTGGTGTGTAGTGTAGGTTTATTAAAGGAATAACTGGAAATAGATGCTATCTAGGGATATATCTTCAGCTGTATCTTACAAGCAAGATTGTACATCTCTGTGACACCTGTTTTCCAAGCAAACATTAACAAACCCCTTCTCCAATATTTCTAAAATCACATGGCTTTATAAATTCTTTGTCCTTTTAGTTGCCACCTCCTACTCTGGAATTTCATGGGTCCAGGTTTTCTCATACTTTGATGGTATACAGCCCCCCCCCTTTAAAGACAAAGAAGAAAGAAAGGAAAAAAAAACTCAAGGGCCCTGTGTGGTAATTTACATTAATTTTATTATACTTCTTCAAATTATAAAAAAAAATAAGAGTAGCCATTAAAATTCTTACACTTATAGCTCTATCCACAATCATAGTTAAATATTTAATATTCCTCTGGAATAATATAAAACCCAAACAGGTTTATAAATTAAATAAAAGCAGTACCACAAAGCAAATTAAATGTCATAGATGCTATTTCAGTAAAACTAAATTCCTAGCAGAAAAAAAGAGCCTCAGTTCACTGTGTATATTTTCTGGCTAGTTTTCAGATGGTCAGTGAGATGATCCAGAATATGGTTATGTTACCTTTTTTTAGAGGTAGAAACAAACAATTAAAAATATGACCATCTAGACTTAAACCCAGCTGTATCAATATTAAACATAAGTTGGCTGAACACTCCTATTAAAAGACAGGGAATGTCAGGGTTTTTTTTAAAAGGCCAAACTAAATGCTGTTCACAACAGACACACTTTAAGTATGAAGATACAAAGTGGTTGAAAGTAAAAGGATAGAAAAAGCTGGTGTGGTATCATACAAAATGGTCTTCAACAGGAAAGATACTAACAGAGAGGATAATTTCCTAAGAATGAAAATATCCATCAAGAAGTGGATAACAGTCCCAGTGTTCCTGCAGCCAATAATAGAGCTTCAAAGTGCGTGAAGCATTACTTATAGAACTAAAAGAAGAAATAAATTCAAGATTGTTACACTCCTCTCTTAGTCTCTGAAACAAGTAGACAAAACCAGTAAAGATACTTGACATTTTAATAACACTATTAATTGACTGTGCAGTTGACATTCATTGAACACTACCCAACAATTGCAGAGTACACATTATCTCAGTGCACTGACTGTTGCTCTTGGTTTAAAAAAAGATGCAAAAGGAAAAACACATTTGAGAAAAACAATACAGAGATTAGTATTATGTAAAAAGTTACTACAATAAACATTACTTTAAAAAAAACTTTTTTGATAAGATTATGTTACATTGCATTTAACCGAACATGAATCTCAAAATAATGATGAAGTAAGTATACTGAAGGAGTAGGAAAATAGTTGACCGATATTTTCACATTATTCTTTGGGTTTTGTTTGTTTCTTAGGTTTTCATTGCTCAGTCCAGATCATCTGGAAGTCACCGAGATGTTGAAGATGAAGAACTTACAAGAATATTTGTTATGATACCAAAGTCCTACACAGAAGAAGATCTACGGGAAAAATTTAAGGTACTTATGTTTTCTCGTCAGCTAGCTTCTGTGATAACTTATAATCTTAAATTGGTTGTACGGTTACTAAATCCTGTGTTATTTGAGTTAGACCATTAGACTAGTGGTGGAGAGTTAAATAACTGCTTTTAAATTATCAATTTCAATCTAGTTTTTAAATAGTAAAACTAAATATTAAGAATTCACTTTTTAAGAATATATAGAACCTGGAAAACATTAATGGTAGTGCCCCTTCCCCCATTTAATGAATATACAGATTCAGGAAAATGAAGTATAAAGCTCAAAAGTTTTAAGTAAGGTCACATACCCAGCAGGTAGTGGAACCAAGATTTAAACCTAGGCTGTCTGAATCCAGAGCCTGCTCTTGGTTTTAAAAATTTCACAGCACCCTCTTACCACTCCTCTCTATTGCCTGTCATGTAGAGGCAGTCTGGCAAGGCCGAGTGTGTGAACTATATTATCTTGCGTTTATTACAAGCCTATGGCCTGTTGACGTACTTAGTCACTGAAAAGCTTATCCTTTATAGTTTTTGTCCTAAACTTAGACCTCTGAAGGAGTTACATTTAAAGGAAAAAAAAATCTACCTATAGTTCTGAAGTATAGCTAGATTATAGTCAATGAAAATTGAAGACAATTTAAAATCTTTTTAGCCATTGAATTTTATATTCAGTGATACACTTTCACAAAAATTATTAAAAAGCAATTTTTAAATTGTTTTGAGTTGTAATTTTTATCATTTTTCTACTATCTTGCCAGTACTCTGAATCAAGTGGGCAGCAAGCAAGAAAGAAAAGAAACAAGCAGTAAAAAGTAATTTTCAAACTTCCCCTGTCCTCCCGCAGTTGGGATAGTATTAAATAAAATACTTCAAAAATAACCAGTACTAAAAATATATATTCCATATTTCTTCCAACAGTAAAAAAAACAAGTTTTTACCTTATATATTTATAAACTCTTTATCTTTTCCTAAGTGAACAAATATGGTATTTTTATCTGAATATTTAGTAGCTACTAATATATATGATATATATTTGTATATATCAAAATTATATACAATACTAAGAATTTATATCCCATATTTCTGCTAACATTAAACATTTACCACATATTTCTTACATAGAATGTTAAATTTCTGAGTGAATCAGTGAGTTTTAAGGGTGTACTTTGACTGTCTTTCAGAAGAATGCAGAATTCACTTAATGCTTCTGTTAGAAGGCAGACAAATAATTACAGTTAATATTTACTGAGTGTTGACCACTCTATACAGGCACTTTACGTGTGTTCTCTTAACTCTTAAAACAAGCCTATGAAGTAGGTACAGCTAATAGCCTCATTTAACAGGTAAGGAAATAGGCACAGTGAGGACAACTCCGCTGTCCAGTTAATAAGTGGCTGAGCCAAGATTTGAATAAAGAAGGTTCAGTTCCAGAGCCTCTGCTCTTCACCATCACTGAGCAAGACTTTGGAGCTTTCCAGACAATGTACAAATTCCTACTCTCCCTCCATGACTTTAGCAAGTTATTTGATTTCTCTAAGGTCCAGCTTCCTTGTCTGTGACATAGGCAGTTTTATGTATATATATAAATATATATATATATATATTAATCTTCTTGAAGGACTTGTAACAGTGAGCTGATATATTTAAAGCAAATGCTCAGTAAATAAAAAGCATTATTATTTTGGTTATGTAATAATTTGGTTATATCTTTATTCTGGTTATTTTTCTAGTGCCTCATTAGTTTGTGACATTTTTACTTCATTATTAAAAATAGCTGTAAATTCTAATTTCCTTTTTTGCACACAAGAAGAATAAGTAAACAAACTTTAAGTTAGTTCTAAAATCTGTTCAGTTACTAATTTTGACTCTAAGATCATTTCTTTTAACTCTCATAGGTATATGGAGATATCGAGTATTGCAGCATTATTAAGAATAAAGTAACTGGAGAAAGTAAAGGTTTGGGATATGTGCGATACTTAAAACCATCACAAGCTGCCCAAGCAATAGAAAACTGTGATCGAAGTAAGGATGTGTTCATTTAACATTGTTATAGACATTTGAAAAAATTCTAATTATTCTAGTATAGTCTACTACTGGTTTTTGCTAATAACCATACCTGCTAATTTAATCTTAGCAATGGGAATTTGAATATTTATAGTCCTAGGATGAAAATTATTTTGGGACTGTGGTTAAGCTTTCACTGAGGCACTGTCTTGAAAAATATGAGCAACTGCATTAACTCAGTAAGTGAAAATGCTCTTATCCTACTTTGGTTGTTATTATAAAGGTTTTTGGGGTTTATTAAATTACATTAGAACTTTAAGTATTAAATAAATTGACCTATCCTTTCAGGTTTGGGTTTTTTTTAATGTTTATTCTTTGTATTTTGAAAAATTCAAATATTCTGTAATATTTGTTCATAATTGACCTAAACCCTAAATAGAATTACGTATACTAATAAATACATAAATAATGATAGAAATTTTAAAGTTTACTGAACATAGGTAAGTAAATGCACATTGAGTTAATTTCAAGCTAGAGTGATATTAATTGGATCTTTTGCTGTTGCTGGTGTACATTCTGAAGAATAAGAAATTTAAAGAGGCCAAGGAAAATTTTCTTTCTTGTCTTATTTCTAGTTATATTGACCTTTAGAAAGGAAATGTAGAATAATTTAGTTAGTGGGTTTCAGGATATTATAAAAATACATATTTGCACTGGAAATAATTATTGGTATTCAGTATAACTCTTAGATAACCCTAAGGTACACACCAAAAACTTCTCTCAGATTCTCATAAATTTCTCAGTCAGCCGGCATTAATTGAGTATCTGTACTATACTCATCAATGTGAGTAGAGGTATACAAATGGAGTATATAGCAACCCAGGCAGTTAAGGATTCATAGCTAATTGGTTAGCCAAGATCTAAATGGCAAAAAATAAAGAATAATAGAAGGGTTGTGTTTTGTTTGTTTGTTTTTTGTTTTAAAGCTCTTTGAAAGCAAAGTGTATGTCTTGTCTGTTTCAGCCACCCCAAGTACCTAGTACTGCTGTTAGTTGTACACAATAAAGTAGTAATCGCTCAGTAAAGATTTATTGAGATCTCTACCAAAGATACTGCCATTTGTAGTGAACTCAATAAAAATTTGCCAAATGAGAAAATGTTCAAAATTATGTGATACAGTCTATCATTGGTGAAAACAAGTGCACTGAACAAGCATGTGAGTACATCTGGAGGCAAGGTTTGCATCTGGTATGGAGTAGGT